CAAATGAAAAATTAATGTAGTGATAATTTTCAGAATGAAGTCATGTTTAATGAAACATGAATGAAACATGTCTCACCTACTATTTATTTCCTATTATGTATGTAATTTTTAATATTTATGTATGTAAATAATTGTGCATACACACACACACACACACACACACACACGTGCCAAAAGTTTCAAATAATTAAGATTTGATCAAAACTTAAATTGGAAAATATTATTACAATACAATGTAAAGTAACTGTTTTCTATTTTAGTATATTTAATGCATTTAATTGTAATATATGTAATTTATTCTTGTGATGCAAATCTGAATTTTCAGCATCATTACTCCAGTCTTCAGTGTCACATGATCCTTCAGAAATCATTCTAATATACTGATTTAATGCTCAAGAAAAATTTCTTATTTTTTTATCAATGTTGGAACCAGTTGTGCTGCTTCATATTTGTATTCAAAGGTTTGAGGAAAGTATAAAATATACAGTATGTATAAACAAATCTGTTTACTTTCTATTCATTAAAGATTCATGAAAAAATGTATCATGGTTTCCACAAAAATATGAAACTGTTTGCGTTAATGTCATATTGTATGCTATCAATTACTATTATAAAAACTGTCTTCAACATTGATGATAAGAACTATCATTAATAATTAAGCACCAAATCAGCATATTAGAATTATATATTTGTTTTTATTTAAAAAGTGGAATTTGCAGTAGGATTGCCTGACAGCAGTCTTATGTTTGAATCAAATCAAGCAGAGATTTTCCGGCTTGTGTTGAATGCCTTGTCCGAGGTTTCCTCTCCCCTTAATTACCTCCAGTGCAAACCTCCAGTGGCTTCCCTCAGCCCGATGAGGAAAAGTGGAGTGATAGAAGGATAGCGAGGCAGATACGGCCTCACATTGAGTGTACTTCATGTGTATGCATGTAGTATGTGTGTGTGTGTGTGTCAGTCTGAGAGGAGGAAAATGATTCTTGCCCTAGGCAGCGATCGATCAGATCTTAGATGCAGAAATCCCAGCGTCCCTCCGCTGAGCCCGTGGAGCTGATTAGCTCATCTCATATTCTCAGAGCACAGGAGGAAAGAGCATGGAAAAAAAAAGGAGAGGGGGGAAAACGAAAAGCTACAGGAGACCAAAAACAGTGGACAAGCAAAAGGAAGAAAACAGTCAGATGTGGAAATAAACAGATGAAAGGAGTAAGCAGAGCACTGAGAAATACTAGAACACAGCTGCTTTTATTTATTATCCACAAAGAGAGTCTGAGTTATACAGTAGACAGAATGCTTTTTCTTTTTCTTTTGTTCTTTCTTTGCATTTTTGTCTCATTCACACCATGTATATTATGCTTAAAGGGTTAGTTCACCCCAAAATGAAAATTCTGTCATTAATTACTCACCCTCATGTCATTTCAAACCCGTAAGACCTTTGTTCATCTTCGGAACACAAATTAAGATATTTA